AGATATTTATATAAAAATATAAGTTAACAGAATTAAGAAAAAGTATTTTTTTGTAAAAGTTTATAAATTAATTTTAATATAAAGAACCAAGTATTGTGTTTTGTATTAGAAGAGTTTTTAAAAAGAGTAATAAAAAAGATAACAAAAAATATAAAGCAGCTTTATATAAAGTATTTAAATTTTTTGATTATTTATATTAAGTTCAAAAAGTTGTTTTCTTTTTTGTATTTTGTATTTTAGATTGATAGTTTTTTTTTTTTTTTTATAGTTAAAGTTCTTATCTTGAGGATGCAATGTTTTTATTCAAGTATATTAGAACACAGCATGCCACCAAAGGCTCACCTTACATTGGAGATTACAACTAGTCACATATGCACTTTTGGTGCCTAATTTAAGTAGTCTGCTTATACATTGCTATATAAGTTTTATACTAGTTGCCATATCTGCAAGCCAACTAGAAGTCTTATCTATTTAAACTCTCTGTATATGCAATCCTTCTTGTATTATGAGAACATCTCAAGATTACATCCATCTAAGTTTCCAATGCTTGTTGTTACCTTTAGGACTAATTTATCCTTAACAGGAAACTTACTAGAGCCTTTATGTCCTACACATATAAACTTAGTTTTATACAATATGCTATAGTTACCTAATACTTGCAATTATAGGAGTTATCTGTTTAACTGCTACATTACACTATTTCTACCTTTGTAAAGTTTACTAGAACCCTAGTACCTATCTTGTTAGCATCTTCTCTATTATTCCCTATTAGCTACAACTTAGAACTATCAGTCTTATTTCAGACTACCAATCCAGATAGCCCAATATGGTATACTTCTGTATTCTTTTTCTCTAATGAATTTGGTGACCTAGTTGGTTATATGCTCCTTTACACATATTTGACATCTGGTTTTAATCTTTGATTCTTATAAAGGTGTTTTATGGGCTTCAACTAGTCCAATAGTATTGTCAAAAGTTCATGCTACCTCTTTACTTAGAAATTTTCAAGTGGGTTTCTGTCATTTTGGTTTTTTAGTCTTCTATGCCCAAGATTGATAGTTTGTTTATAACTTATTTGAAATATTATAAATATAAAAAAAATATAGTTATTGAATTAATAATTTGGTTTTTTTGAAAAAATATTTTTTTTTTTTTTTTAAACTTTGGTGACAATGTCAGTTAGTTTATTAGCTTTAATTTAATATAGTACAAATTTACAGTTACATTTTTAGGATCGATTATTACTAGTACTATATACTATCTAATTTTACACTACTAATTTTACCTGATTACCTATATGGCACCTAAGTGCATGTTCGCCACATGCCTGCATACAGTTATCTTAACAACCACTTGCAGTTAGGACATATCATTAAACTGCTACACAGACAAGAATATCTACTGAATTTAATATAGTATCCCAAATGCCAGAGGTACTGTCTTCTGTAAATCATACTCATATGTTCCACTTATATACTTTACCAGGTTTTGTTTCTTCTGCCTCTTAATTTAACTATATCTAGTATTATCTTATTCTTCACATTTCTCATCTTTTTGTCATTATATCACTCACAAATTGGTCCTACTTAGGTATATATTTAATCCTTATAATCTTTTCATCTTTGGTATACCTGTTATTGATTCATCTAAGGTGTTCTAATAATGGACTAGACTCTACAAAGAACCTATATCTCAAGCCAGATTTGCTACTACTATTAGTCTTTTTGACCAATCTATATCTTAAGCTAGATCTGCTACTACTGTTCTTGCAGATGCCCTAGGTCTTAACATTATATAGTAACTCAATGCTGTATTTAATCTCTAACATGTTGCTCTCTTCTATAGTAGGAACTAAGACTTGTTGTGCTTACAAACAAGGCAATTCTGGTTATATCTAAAGAGTTCCTCTGTCCCTAATGATACCATACTACTATATATAGCAAGCTTTCAGCTTATTCAATAATACCTGCAGGACAATTCTGGTTATGTCCCAGAGAGTTACACTGACCTTAGTGATGTCATATTATCTTGCAGATCTTATTTCATATTGGTTGGTTGATTTCAGTCTTGTTTGTTATAGACTTCCATATAGGTATGACCAGGAACCCAATTTAGTACTTTTACATTGCACAAGGAAGTTATATGCCAACCTTTAAGATTTTTTTCTTCTATAATTAGATTATTCAGCTATGCCAAAGGTGCTTCCAATTTTTGGTTAGACCAATCCTTTATCACAGTCCATTCTTGTGTTCATCGCTTCTCTTACTATTCCTGTCTTGGTTACTTTTAGTATACTTTCCCAATCAAATTCTCTTCTTGAATCCTAATTAAGACTTATTTGCACAATTTGTTGATTATTCTTCCAAGCAAGTACCCTACAAGTTGGATGCAGAAATGTTGATACTACTAATATTAGGAGGTATAAGGATGTTGATGCTGCCTTAGCCTAAAGGACTTATATGTGCAATCTTTCTATAATCGTAACCTTTTGTAACAACTGCTTGTTACACATAGTGTCTGCACTTCACAATTGGGTCTTCTTCCAGGAATTTCTATTTCCATCATTATACTGTACTTGGACTTAATCATAGGGCTTTGTATTCAATTACAGGCTCCTTATTAAGTTATAGAAACTAAAATCTTTTGATTTTGCCTCTAGCCAAACTTGAACCATTGACCTTGACTATGAAGGGTATAGAAGCTTAACCACTAAGCTATGAGACCCACATTCTGAAAAAATATTTAAAAGTTAAATATATTTATTATTTTTTTAAGATGTTAATTTAAAGATAAAATATAAAGAGAAATGATATCAACTCTCTTTGCTAATCATTTAAACACAAAATCGACCAAAAGAGAAATTAATTTTATATAAAAGTGGCCTTCTAAACTACTTTGGCAGAACTAAGTAAAAAGAAAAAGCATTCAGAAAAAGTATAATAAAAGAAAAAAATAGACAAATACAAGAAATACAATACAGGAAAGACAAAAAAAACAAAATTTTTTGAAGAAAATACTCAAAAATTTGAAAATTTGGGTTGTTTTAGGAAATTAGTACTAACCTGATATTGCAAATCTGTTTTGATCACAAGGATGTAAACAAACAAGCAATTTAATCATATATAAGACAAGCAAAACAAACACATGCTTAATCTAGATAGAAAATATAAATATAACCAAAAGACATAGTAGCAGTCTAATAATATATAGTTATTTGATAGATAGTACAATTATATTGTGATTTGTATAATCATGATTTTATTATTACACCTACAAATAATGTGAAGTATCTGGCAAAGAATTTGATCATGAGATGGCTGAGCTCCAAAGGAGCCCAGACATCTCATGATCAAATTCTTCACCAAATACATCAGTTATTAGTGCAGAGCATTCAATAATGGTATTATCTAATATTCTACAATAATTGGGTTCACTTATTATAAAAATTAAACTTTAATTAATAACGTAAATTAAATTTTACATATGTATATATAAATTTTTTTTTTTATACTTGAATGTTTCTTTCTTTTGCTTTTGAGTTTCATTTGCTTATACTAAAAAAAAAATAACAAACATTAATAAAACCAATTATTACAAGCCAACAAGTAATGAAATTAATAAAATTATTAATAGTACAATCTCTGCAAATATATAAAATACAACAACAAAGTGGATTAGAATTTTAGAAGCCTGGTGATCTGATGTTGTTTATGATTATGGAGTTGAATCTATTACAGATAAGGACCAGTTAAGTGTAAGATGACAGAATTTATTCTTGGGATTTATACAATTCATACACAACAAGAATATTTATTAATATCATTAATAAATTGTATTAGGTTGTTAAGTGTATATATTTTAAAGCATTCTTGTAGAACTATGAAGTTTAATTTAGGAAATCAGCAAGAATTTGCATGACTCTATGATGCATTAAATAGAAAATTAAACAATTAAAAAAAAAGGTATCATTTCATGACATCATGACTATTTGACAGATGAAGAATTAAAAAAGATTTTTCAATATAAGAAGGTTTCTATTAATACATCACAAAGGCTTCTTTATAGAATTTTTATGTAGTGCTATTTTTTATTTCAATCTTGTGATAGTGAACATTATAAAATTTCAATTAAGCAGTTTACTTTTACTTCTAATAGAGGCATTCATTTTGCAAAGAATTATTAAAAAAATGATTAAGAAGGCATTGATGGAAATTCTAATGCTTTAATTATTTCTGTACCATCTGATATGAATAGTTATCAAGGACCTGTGCATGATTTTAAATTTTATTTTTCTAAAGACTACTGAATTCAAGTTCTGAATTTTTTTATTTACATATTAATAAAAAAGCAAAAGGTAAAAGTTCCATTATATTTTATTACATATTTAATATTTTATTTTTTTTATAATTTTTTTTTTTATTATGTAGATTTTATACAAGATCCTTGGTTTTATGATATTCAATTAGGCAAAAATGCATGTAGATCTTTAATGAAAGACATTTGCATTGCAGTTGGAATTGATATTAATAGTTGTGATATTGTCAATCATTCTGGACATTCAATACCAATTACATTTTTATTTCAGAAAGAAGTACCAATAGTTACAACAATGTCCTTAACTAGATACAGAAGTGAATCATTGTATCACATTTATGCATGACCATCAGATCAACAAAGAGAAGATGCATTATTGTTACTGATTAATAATGTTAGATTAGTACCTTTAAATAATTTGAAGATGAAGTTTTTTTATTTATTTAAAAAAAATTCATTTATATTTGCCTTAAATTTTTTTATTAGGAACCAAATAACTTGTATGAACAAGATTCAAATGAACATAATAAAACCTCAACCAATTTACAAAAACAAGTTTTAAATAAATATAATAAAACCTTAACCAATTTTTAAGAACAAGCAATGGCTAGCAATAATTACAAGAAGGTTCCAAAAAAATGAACAAATTTACTAGTATCATCTTGGTCTTCAGTCTTTGCTCCATTTCAGTCACCTTTAAAAGATTCGTCAAAAATAAACTTCCTATTGCATTCAAGACAATCATATTCAGAACCACTACATTCAGAACTAATGCATTCAGAACCATCTTGTTTAGAACCATCAGGACTATTACATTCAGAAATATTAGAACTATTATATTCAGAAACATCAGGGCTATCATATTTAGGACTAATACATATAGATCAATTGCTTTCAGAACCAGAGATGAAAAAAACAAATGACCAAGTTTGTGACCAAGTTTGTGACCAAGTGCCAGAGTTGAAAAATAGTAATACAGTTATTAAAAATTACTATAATATTAATACAAAGTATGTAAAGATTATTAAAAAACATAAAAAGTATTAATTTATATAATTATAATATAATAATATTAAAAATAAATAAATAAATAAATTGGTTAATTTGTGTATAAAATTTTTTAATGATGTTTTAAAGTTAGTCACAGTGATTATTTTATATACAATATATTATCAAATAACTAGAGTTATTTGATAGTTCCAATCATAGTAGGGTATCAGATAATAATATATATTAATAAAGCATACTGGGCTATCAATAGTGTGCAAAATGGTATGTTTATTAAACAAGCAGGTAAAACATATATATTGCTTAGCAGAGAAGATGAAATTGTTACTATATTGACAAATCAGAATTTAGAAGAAGTTGCTCTATTAAGATTAACAAGAGAATTAATAAATAAAGCAGAAAAAGAGCAACCAGAAAGGAAATTAAGTATAGTAGAGCAAGGCAATTATGCAATGATAATAGAATCCACTCTAGAACAAGATCAAGATAGACTTAAGGAGAAATGCCACCAAATCACAAAAACAGAAAAGACACAAAAAATTAAACAAAACCAAACATTAAAGAAGAAACCAGAAAGAAAGAATCAATATGAATTAAGGACCCAAGAAACTAACAAAATAATATAGCAAGAAGAGGCAGTAAAGGTAGGTAATAGTGATAATAGCAAAATAGAAGTAGAACAAATCCAACAAAAGCAAGAGAATCTGTCTAGTCAAAAAAGCAATACAGAAAAACAAAAAGAGAAGCAAGAACAAGAAAACATCGAACCAGAATTCAAAAAGAAAATTAACATAGTGAGAGAACTTCTTGAAAAGAGCATATAAGCCCCAAGCAAGAGAAATTTTAATCAGAACAACAGCCTACTCATGAATATACCAGCACACAACATGCCAGGAAAAACAAGAAAAGAATGCATAAAATTTATTAGATGGTCTTTAAAAAATAACATATATGTCAAAGATGTTAAAGAAGTCTTTAAAAGAGGAAACCTAAGGGTAGAAGTTAACTTTAACTGTGAGTATAACAGAAATGAAGCAATACAGAGAATCAGCAAAAAGGAGAGTGACTAGTATAGAATGATATCAGAAGTAAAAGAAGACATTATAAAGAGACAGATATAACATAAAGAGAAAAGTCAAAAGAGAAATAGCAGCAAATTAAGAACCAAAAAAGAAGAACTCGAATAGGAAGAAAATAAAATCAAGATAAATAAAAACCAACATAAAACAAATAAAGAATCAGAAATACAAGTTATCTAATGATTTGGAACTTATCTGCAGATATAAACAAAAGAGAACTAAAATACATTTGTAGAAGATTTAGGAAAGCCCATATAGTAAGAATTAAGAAATTCAAATATAAAGCCTTAGTTGTAGTCAAGATAAAGAAAATATATAAAAATATCCTATGGGCTATACCAGTAAACAATAATAAACTGATATGAGTAACCAAAGAAATAGAAAACCATAAAGCAAAAGAAGGACAAAAGAAATATATAGCAAAACTGAAAGAACTACTAGGAAGTGTCTCAGAAATCTTACTACTACAAAGTTTAAAGAACAAATGAGTTAAATCAGTTTACATCTTACTAAACAGAAATGAAAACCAAAAAAGATCAGCAATAGTTATGTTTGCAACAGAAAGAGACATGAGAGCTGCCCAAACAAAACTAATTATATATAACAATTTTCAAGTTTATTGAATAAATGAAGAGAAAAGAGAAACAAGAAAAAGAGAAAGTCTTGAAATAGTAAGAGAAAGAAGCTAAGACAGACATAGTCAGACTTTATATGCAAAAGAAAATAGAAGCAGCAGAGAAAGACAAAGAAATAGAGCCTATGCAAAAAAGTACAGAAATAACAATAGTGTAAGCCAGAAAAATATTGTACTAAACAAAGGAAGCAGATCTCAAAGCTGAAGTAAAGAGAACCAAACAAGAGATACAAAAATGAAAAAAGAAGAAGTAGAAGACCAGGAAGAAAGACCAGAAGAATTCAAGAGACATAAACAAGAAAAAGAACTATGCATAAAGAACTTCTTGAAACAAATTTGAAAAAGATTAGAAGGATTAGAAAAGACAAGAGGTATAGCTAGAAAGAGCCTAGCCAATCACTCTTGAGAGCATTCTAGTTGAATTTGTAAATATGAATAAGAAGATCAAAGATTTTCTGCATAACAAAAGAAAAACCTTTGAAGAAAGAAATAAAGAAAAATTTTTTAATTCAAAAGAAGTAAAAAGAAGAAAAAAAAAAGAAAAAAAACTTAGAAATAAGATACAAGCAGCTAAAAAAGAAATGAAAAAAAGAAAAGAAAGAAATAAAAATTGCATATCACAATGTTAATGGACTCAAAACTAGAGGTTGAAAATTAGAAAACCTGCTAGGCTAGACAGAGAAAGAAGAAATAGCATTTTTGAAAATTACAGAAATGAACATTACAGAAAAAGAAGGAAAAATCTTGGTATACAATCTTGATACAAGATTTAAATATTATTGGATAAGTGCAGTACCAGACAAGAAAAAAGGATCAGGCATTGGAATTTTAATAAATGAAACTTGGGAGAAACATGTTAGAGCAGTTAAAAGACCTAGCGAATACATGATAGAAGTAAAGCTATACTTCAAACAACTAGTACTAATAGTAATAAGAGTATACATTCCATCAAATGACAAGACAACCAGTAAGAAGATATAGCAAAAAATTGTAAAAAATAGTAACAAATAAGAGAAAGTACAAAGAAGTAATTATACTTGGAGATTTTAATTATACTGTTAACAATGTACTAGACAGACTGTATCCATAAACAACAGAATATAAAAAACTGCCAGTTTTTAATTGGCTCAAAAAACAGGACTTTACAAACTCTTTCAGAAACCTGCATCCAACAGAGAGAGCATACACATGATCAAATTAAGAAGCAGCAACAAGATTTGACTATATCTGGTTATTAAAAACAATTACAGCTAACCTTCAAGATGCCAATATAAAAGAAGCAGAAGGCATAATAGGCAGTGACTATAGGATATTAACAACAGTTATATAGTCAGAACATGTAATTGTGAACCAGAGTTGTGCAGAAACCAAATGCAAAGACCAAATAAGAACAATATATCTGTATGAAAAAGCAAAAAAAGAAGACTAGAAAAAATATGCCAAAGAGCTTCAAGTACAATTAGAGTGAAAAAAGACACTAAAACAATTAGAAAAAGACAGATAAGCCAAAATGTATAGTATAGATATGTTAGATCTTATATGGAATGCAATAGAAGAAGCTATAACAGAGATAGCAAATAAGCAAATTTTAAAAAAGAAGATATTCAACACAAAAGCAAACAGAAAACATTATCAGAAAAAGCCATGACAGGATAAAAACATAATTGAACTCCAACAAATAATTAAAAAAATGAAAACAAGAAGAAACCAAGAGATAGAAAAAGAAGAAAAAGAAGAGATAAACAATAAACTTAAAAACATTGGCAAAGAAATAGAAGCAGCATTACCAAAGTTATACAAACAATGGTCAGAAGCATAAATAAATAATATAAAAGGCTGGCAAAAAATTTTAAAAGATAAAAAAAAAAAAAAATAGGAACAATCTCAAAGAAAACAAATAGAGAAAAACATAAATAGAAGAAGTGAGATGATAAAAACTGACCAAGGTTGAATAATTGCTAGTCTACTGAATAAACCATATAAAAAGATAACTTTAAACAGATTTATAATTCAAAGTAAAGATGAGGTTAGACTAATAACAGAAACTAAGACTGTTTTAAATAGTTTGGCAAAGCATTTTGAAAATAAATTCAGAAAGTAAAAAACCAAACTAGAGAAGATGTTAGAGGAATGGATAAAAGTGTACAGCCCAAAAGAGTAGATTAAGGAGTCTTGGTATGAAAAGTTAAAAGAAAAGATAGAAAAAGAAGAATAAGAAGACATACTAAAAGAACTCAAAGCCAATACAGTCCTAGAAATTTCAGATATAAGCTATATGTTAATAAAACAAGCAGAAAAGAAATCACAAAAAATTTTCAGAGCTTTCGCAAATCTAGTTTTAAAAATAGAAAAAATACCAATAAAATAAAAAATAGCACAAATTTATCTAATCTTAAAAGATGTAGACTGAGAATATAATCTGAACAATATTAGACCAATAGTATTAATGAGACTTTTAGAAAGTTAGTCATAAAGGTGATAACAAGAAGGTTGGCCAAGATATTTACAAAAAGAGAAATACTCAAAAGGCCAAACTATGCAGGTTTGTCTGACAACTCAACAGAGCAACCAATACATATACTAAACATAATAATAGAGAAAGTACAAAAGAAGAATAAAGAAATATAGATACTTCTACAAAATATGAAGAAAGCATTTAACTCAGTTCCATTAGAAAGCTTAGAGTGGGCTCTTAGAAGAGTTAAAATACCACAAAGAACAACAAAATATATTATTAACCTCTTCTACAAACATCAACTTAAGGTGATCACAACTTATAGCCTAACAGAAGAGATAACAGCAGAAGATAGCATAGATCAAGAAGAGGTAATTTCTTTACTAATCTGGTGGCTTTTCTATGATCTACTGTTGGAAAGAATCCAAGAAGATAAATCTTTAGGCCATATAGTAGAACAAAAAACACTAAAAAATATGAATATCAATTATATTACAAAATATAAGCAAGTAGCAATTACCTATGCAGGAGTGTGGTGACCTAGTGAAGTAGTCAGGTTGTTAACCCTCAAGTGGCAGGTCTAGAGTTCAAATCCTATGGATGACAAATTTTGGAAAATAAGGTCTGTGTTACAGTAACTGTCTCTGTCAATCAGTTGGATTTGTGTATTTGTAACCTTTGTTGCACCATCTCA